ATAACAGACTGCATCAAACAGGCAGTAAATGCTGTTCCTTTGTCTGTAATGACAACCTGCGGTGTGCCATGTCGTAGTACAATCTGAGTGACGAAAAACTGGGCTACTTCGTTCGCCCTTCCTTTTGCAAGAGGTGATGTCTCAGCATATCGAGTCATGTAGTCTGTTGCTACAACAATCCAGCGCTTTCCCGATGAAGAGAGAGGAAATGGACCAAGCAAATCCATTCCCACTTGCTGAAATGGCCCTTTTAGTGGCTCTATGAGTTGAAACAGACCCGCTGGTTTTGATGGTGGTATTTTGCGTCTTTGGCAATCCCGGCATGACTTAACATAATGGTGCACCGAATCCCTTAATTTCGGTCAATAATACTTCTGGCGAATTCTGGCCATAGTGCGACTACTACCCATATGGCCAGCCGATGGGTCGTCATGACACGCTTCTAAGATTTCTGCTCGCAGTGATGATGGTGCAAGAAGCAGAAACGTCTCACCACTGTTTCCAAAGTTGCGTTTGTATAGGACGTCGTTCCGGCGACCATAGGATGTCAATCCACGGACGAAAACTCGTGGTACCTTAATTTGGTGACTCTCCAAGTATTGGATAAGCGGGCGTAGTTCCGGGTCCATTCGCTGAAGACGAGCCATCTCCGACACATTCAGAACTCCAAGAAATGGGATGTCTTGTTCTTGGTCAGATGATGGAGACTCAACAGGTGCGCGAGACAGGCAATCCGCGTCATTGTGCTTGAGACCGGACTTGTAGACCGCAGTGATGTCATGTTCTTGCAGATACAGGCTCCATCTAGCAAGTCTTCCTGAAGGGTCCTTGATATTTGCCAGCCAACACAATGACTGATGATCACTGATTGCTCGAAACGGTCTGCCGTAGATGTATGGGCGAAACTTGCTGATGGCCCATATAACTGCGAGACACTCTTTCTCTGTCGCTGAGTAATTGGACTCGACATTCGATTGAGTGCGGCTCACGTAAGCAATCACTTTTTCTTCTCCATTCTGCCACTGAACAAGGATGGCACCGAGACCAACATTACTCGCGTCGGTATGTATGTCTGTATCGGCCTCTTCATCAAAATGGGCAAGTTTTGGAGGAGACTGCAAACGGCGTCGCAACTCTCAGAAAGCCACTTCTTGTTCTTCCCGACAAGAGAATGGTACACTTTCTCTTGTTAGCCGTGTCAAAGGCTCAGCGACCTTAGCAAAGTTTTTAACAAAGCGTCTGTAGTAGGCACATAGTCGCAGAAATTGTCTGACGGCCTTTTTGTCTTGTGGTTTCGGAAAATTTTCAACTGCTGCAATTTTTTCCGGGTCTGGGCGGACGCCTTCTGCACTAACTATGCCCGAGGAACTGAAGCTGACGAAATCCAAAGTGACACTTTTCCGGTTTGATGGTCAGTGCTGCCACGCGAATTGCATCCAGTACCATTCTCAGTCGGTGGATGTGCTGCTCGAAGGTAGAAGAAAAAACCACTACATCGTCGAGGTAAGACGAGGCACGATTGCCACTTGAGTCCAGAGGGCACAGTGTCTATCATCCTCTGGAAGGTAGCGAGAGCAGAGCACAAACCAAAAGAGAGCACTTTGAACTCGTATAGTCCATCTGGGGTCACAAACGCCGTCTTCTCGCGATCTCGTTCGTCTACCTCGATCTGCCAATATCCACATTTTAAGTCCAATGATGAAAAGAAGTGAGCATTGCATAACTTATCGAAGGCATCATCGATCCGCGAAAGTGGATAAACATCATGCTTTGTGACTTGATTCAGCTTTCTGTAGTCAACACAAAATCGCAGAGTGTTGTCCTTCTTTTTGACTAGCACTACCGGATCAGCCCACGGACTGTTGGATGGCTGGATTACATCATCGTTGAGCATTTCCTGCACTTGGTTCTTGATGGCTTCCCTTTCTTTTGGCGCTACTCGGTATGGGCGCTGATGCTCAGGTCTCACGTGTTCTTCGACCTCGATGCGGTGCTTTGCGACGGGAGTACATCCGACTTTCGACGAGGTGGAGAAGCACTCGGCGAACTCTCTAATCACGTCAGTAATCTGTTGCTTCTGAGATGACGAGAGCTCTCTGTCAATCAATGTCTACTGATTGGAGTACGTTATCGACTGTCTCCGAAGCTTTATCAAAAGTGCAAACATCTGAGACTTGCACGTACTCATGCAGCGATGCTACGGATGTTCCCTTCGCAACATGCTGCAGCTCATTTCGAAAGTTAGTTAATATGACATATGCACATCCATTACGAAGGCTCACCAGGCCTCTTGCCACGCATAGTCCTTTTTCTAGTAGCAGTCCGATATTTCTGTCCGCTGATCCGTCACAGTCACGGAGAACTTCACTCCTCACAAGAACGGTCATACTGGAACGTGGCGGCAGGGTTACATCTTCGTCCATAATGCGGAGAGGTAGAACGATTGGTTTCTCCGCATGACAGAAGGCGACGGCATTCTCCGTATAAAACGAAAACTGGGACTCTTGCAAGTCGATGACTGCATTGTTTGTTTGCAAGAAGTCCATGCCTATAATCAGTTCCCGGGAACATTCAGGAAGCACAATAAAGCTGCCGACATACACAAATCTTCTTATTCCTATCCATGCGGTGCATAACTCCACGGGACTAACTAAGTGCCCTCCAGCGGTACGTATCTGAGGTCCGGTCCATTCAGTCATCACCTTAAGCTTCTTTGCGAGAGCATTACTGACAACGGAATAGTCTGCACCAGTGTCTATTAGCGCAATGGCCTCGACATCGTCGATCGTGACTAATATCTCGGAGGTAACGTCGCTGCTACTGCACTTGTCTGTCGTTGCGTAACTGCCACCGTCCTGTCGGGCTAACAATGGAGGGTCTTCAGTTGTCAGTATATCAGCGGCCTCACCTCCAGAGGTTGCTGGCTCTAGTTTTCCCGCCGCGGACTAAGTGAACGTGGCCTTCAGAGATTTGATGACGGACGAGGACTCGGCGACCGATAGCGCATCGGTGCTGTCGAACGTGACTCCCGTTGTTGCGTGTCTTGAGGTGAATAGCGTTAAGACAAGTATTCTTTGATTTTGTAGGGCCGTTCACTGTTCCGTGGGCATGGTGCATTGACTGGAAAACCACGCAGTCCTGCTCGACGATACTGGCACGCCTGGTAAAGGTGACCTGCTTCTCCACAGTGGTAGCAAAGGGGCCGCCGGTCTACAGTACGCCATACATCGCTCTTACGTGGTCTTGCTTCCGGCATTGGTAGCGGCGTACTCGGAGAAAACGTCGGAGGCATCACAGCAGTCGCAGCCGTCCGATTCATGCGTCCGAGGTCCTGTCGTACAACTTGAGCGTACAACAACTGAGGCGGAGGCTCCAGTAGTGCGCGCTGTAGTACCTGAGGTTGTGGTTGAAGAACCGCTTGCCGAACTTCTTCGTGCACAACGTCAGCAAGGGAGGACATCGCTGGATGACCTTGAGTCATTTGTATTTTCTGAAGTTCTTGCCTTACGACAGCCCTCACCATTTCACGCAGGAGGTCAATATTACTCGTGAAGGTTGTCGACGCCGCACTAACAGATGAGACGCTTACGTCCCTGTTGTATTGGCGCACGCGCTGCTGCAGGGTCTTTTCTATCATAGTCGTCTCTGATCTGAACGCAGCAAGAGAGCTGGGTGGATTACGCACCAGGCCTGCATAAAGCTCCTCCTTCATTCCACACATCAGGTGCCGCAACTTCTTTTCCTCAGCCATGTTTGGGTCGGCCCGGCGGAACAGTCAGAACATGTCTTCAATGTACATGGCGACGCTCTCGTTGTTCCGTTGGTTTCACGTCTGAAGAGCGGCCTCTGTCTTTTCTTTGCGGTCCGTGTTTGGGTACGTAGCAAGGAACTCTGTTCGAATGTCGTCCCACGACAATAAGGACGCTTCGTGGTTTTCAAACCACGTACGTGCACAATCTTGCAGTGCTACGTAGACGTAGCGAAGTTTCCTGTCTTCATTCCAACCGTTCAGTCTGGCGACGCGTTCAAAACCGTCGAGCCAGTCCTCGGAATCCTCGAAAATATCACCGTGAAATACCTCTGGTATGTGGGACGGGTCCATGACGATATGAGATGGAAATGAAGTCGCTTGGGTGGCCATTGCAGGGGCTCCGGAACTTATGTCCTCCACTGGTCTCGAAGAATCGAAGAGGGCACCAAACTCTGGCTGCTCACCTCGTAGGCGGCGACTCGTGCGTTGGTGTACGGGAGTCAGCTGCGCTGGCTCTAACCTTCGGGGTTCTGGGCTATGTTCCCTATCCTGAGATGGGCTTGGAATTATACCCAGCGCCTCCACTAGTTTGTAACGAAGAAATCAGTGCCGGAAGCTAAAACAGCTATTTATTAATGGCAAACTTGTGCCCGTCAACTAAATACACAAAGGTTGTCCTAAGCTCGCTAGTGAAAACCTTATCAACGTCTTCTTTTGCGTCTCGCCTCGAGCCGCTCCTTCGAAAAACCGCCAGCCTTCTTTTTCCAGCGCGTGGTGTGCTGACACGTGCAGCCAGCATTGCATGGCGCGTTTAGCTTGGTGCGTTTGGCTTGTCAGTTGGTGTGGCAGAATTCGTAAGAGCAGGAAGCGGCACAAGATTTCGGTAGCTGCCTAACAACACGCGGCTATATATATATATATATATATATATATATATATATATATATATAAAATTTTTTCGTGTCTACTGTGCATGTTGTAGAGTGAGATAAGACTGTACTTGCTTAGCTTTAGCTGTGGCATTTAAAAAAATTAAAGTTGGCAAGTTAACATTCAAGTTTTATGAGACCAGGTCTTGTATACTGGCGTCGTGTGCATGTTTTTATTATTTCTTTGCTTTTATTTTTATTGCTTCACTTTAAGTGTCTTTGTCCTTAAATGCAGCTTGGAAATGTGCCATTTATAACTACTCAAAGCATTCCTTGATTGTTTGTGTGGCTTATATAACATTTTTGTCCATGCATGCTAGAAAATGTGCTCTGAGGGAGACCTTAGAGAAATGGGCCTGCCCATGGGACCACGTAAAAAACTGCTGTCTTACATGAAGGACCTTTCTGAGAAACAGGCAAGTTTTAGATGTCCTCTCTGCTCCAATTTTTTTCATTTGTTTATTTGGACCCTTCTTTTGTCTCTTTTGACACATGTTTTACAGTTTTCCTGAAGCGCGACATTTGTCTAGTATATGGAAAGTAAGCTCTCTGCTATGTTTTATGCATTTTTTATTTTTAGTCTAACAGTAGCTTTAACATTTAGTATGCCTTTGACATGATCCAACTCATGCTTTTTTTATTATTTATATTTGATCATTTAACAAGTCACACAAAAATTATGGTAAAATGGTTCTCCAGACAGATTGTTTCACAGTGGCAACTTGTTCTTGTGCATATGAGGAATTGTAGGTCAAAGAATGTCACAGGCGCGTGACTTGCTACATTTTGATGTGGCAGGTGACAACCTCAGTGAACTCAAACCTTATATACTTCAGTCAAGCTTCTGGTCCCCAGGATACAGAAAGTATATAGAAAATCTATACAGATTCAGAAAGTATATAGAATATCTTGTCCCCAATTTTAGTACTCCCCAGCCATTTTAGGGGCCATATGAATCTATCTGATGTAGCAGGTACAAAATGACTAACAGTGGGACTGAAGCCTTTGTGCTAGGAATTTTAAATTCTGACCATGAAAAGGTCATGTTCAATTGCTGCTTGCATGTGATGTATTTTTGGCAAAATACAATGGCATGATTCTTATCAACCCCAGCTTTTTCATTACTCAGTGCAAGGCCTCCCTGACTCCCTTTGTTCTCATTTCTTTTATGCATGTGTTTCTCTGTCTCTCACCTCATTTGCCAGGTCAGCCTGTATTTATACCCTCTTGTGTCTCTTTTTCCCCTCCCTTTTAATTTGCCCTTGCTCCTCCTCCCCATTGTGTTTGGGGGAGAGTGAATTAGCGTGCATATGACACTACTGAGGAATTCAGTTGCGGCATTGACAAAGAAAGACTAACTCTTTTGTCACTGCGCGAAAATGGTTATTTTTTACAGTACTCCAGTGCACATTGCAGCATAACAAATTTTGCTCACTGAAATGCTCTTTCCAAAAGATATGTCTTGCAGAGCAGCAGGAGTATTTTGGAATGAATAAAAATGTAAGAAGTGTGTAATTTTTGGTTGCCAGTTTGTAAACAGTGTAATGAAAAACACTATATGATGTCTGTTAGAAAAGTATCTGACCTTTAATGGAAGAAAAAAAAAAACTGGCATAATTAATGCGTTAAAAACCCCTCAAAATAGTTCCTTGGGACTCTTCACACTTCTCCCAGCAGTGCTGTCATTGTTGGAAGCATTCTGAGAAGGCCTCTTTCGGAATGGAGTTTAGCTCAGCTGTTGTTGCAGCCGTAGTGTCCTCCCTCGTCTGAAATCACTCTCCATTCAATGTCCTCTTGAGTTTGGGAAACAGCCAGAAATCACAGGGGGCCATATCAGGAGAGTAAGGAAGCCTGTTAAACTACAGAAGTCTGACTTTTTGCCAAAAAAGTCTGAACCATGTGTGAGGAATGTGTATGTGCCAGTTTTCTGTTGACCACAGCTCAGATCTTTTGCGCCTCACAGCGTCATGTAAGTGACGAAAGACATCCTTGTAGTACTCTTTGGTGATTGTTTGACCTTGTAGTGCGTACTTGTGCATCACACCATGGGAGTCAAAGAAAGCTCTCGGCATCTCTTTGACGTTGCTGCGCACTTTGCGGGCGTTCTTTGGTCTTGGTGACATGGAATGCTTCCCCTGTGATGACTGGGATTTGATATCCGAGTCATACTCGTACACCCAAGATTCGTCCCCAGTGATAATGGTGTCCCATGAGGTTAGGGTCATCGCTTGTGAAATCCAGCATTTCCTGTGAGACTTCAACCTGAACTTGCTTTAGCTCCACCATGAGCAGTTTCTGCCCACATTTCGCCGCAACTTTCTTCATGGCCAAATCTTCGGTCATAATAGAATGTGCAGAGAAAGTGCTGATGCCCACCTCATCCGCAATTTCCCGGATAGTCACACGAAGATCCCGCATCACCGCAGCGATCGCTTCAGCAATGACTGGGTCATTTCAGCATGTTGATGGCTGACCGAAGCGTGGCTCGCACTCCGCCGATCTGTGGCCGTCTTTAAAGGGACACTAAAGTCAAATAACAATTTACGTCAGAGTGAAAGCTTAATGTATGACAACATATAAAATGAGAATATTATCAACAACAGTGTCCTACTTACCAAGAAATTAAGGTAAATGCACAAGAATACAAGCACTACAGTAAGACATTTTCAAAATGATCCCGATGACATCAGACGGACCGCCTACAATTAATCACTAGTAACCGATCTAACTGCACTAAATAAAGAACCTTCCGTGCATCAAGAGGCGCAATAAATGCTGCTTGTTCGTTTCTGTTTAATTCCTGGAAAAGAAGAACCGCCGGGACGTTAGTATGGAGAATGTGGCAAGTGGTCCAAAAATTCAATTTTCGAGTGGTTACATGGGACAGGTGGTGCTATCTAGCAGGGCGCAGTTGAAACAAAAACATCTACAATCTCAAAGCCATTGGCGGTCAAATGATCAATGGCCGTTGTTGCTGCTGTGGCTCCCGCTGCCTTCGGTCTGCTGCTACTAGCGCAGTAAAGCCAGGCAACGTTGTGCAAGGCAACAGTGACGTGAGACGGTCCGGTCGGTCTGCTTCTTGAGGCGGGTAATTTGAAGTGCGCTAACCCGATGCGGAGCACTAAAATGTAATTTTATTTCAAAATAGGCCCTTTCTTGGCACAAAAGTAACACTATGGGGTTTCTGGACCGCCATTTCAACAATCAACGCCGACTTAATAGTTGGCTTTAGTGTCCCTCTAAACCGGTTGTACTCTCCTTCATCTCTATGCAGCTTATAGGGTCGTCACTGAAAGCTGTCTTGATCTTCCCAGTGGTTTCCACTTGGCTGGGAATGATGCTGGACTGGAAAATGAGACTAGACTGTTCATATTCGATCGACTTGAATCTGGACTGGTATTCATAATATCATTGCTGTTTGGCTACAAATTCGGTGCTAACAATAAATGAAATGGCTACTTTGGCTACATTTAGCTTTAGTTTTGACTCCTTTTCAAACTTACCCAACAGCAACCCTGGATCCACAGCTCTTCAAACCTGTTTTACTCATCCACAGCTAAAGTAGACTCTCAGTAAGCTGAACCTGAAGGGACTGGGAAAATATGTTCTATTTAACAGGAGTTTCATTTTCTGAAAGGAGAACATTGGTACAGAATACAAGCCCGAAGCCAAGCATTGCAGAGGTAATAGTTCTGTTTAAGCAGTAGTTCCGTTTAACAGATTTCTATTCACTGAGAGTCTACTGTATTGTCTTGAGTTAAGGAAATGTAATATTTGCTGCAATTACAATTATTTGTTAGGACAACAGTCTTTTACTTGATTGATAGCAGGGGTATATTATTGATGGCACGGGTATCACTGTAAAATACAGGGATATTTTACAGTGAGCTTGTACATACGTGTACCTCAACATGCCGTATAGTCATAGTTGATGTTATAAACATTTGTAATACGGTAAAAGTTTGTTAAATTGAACTGACACTCTGGTCTCGGCACAGGATTGTGTATTTCTATGGGGAGAAACTCCTGGTAGCTTTAACGCGTCAGTATCCACAATGATTAATTCAAACTGAGAGCTTCCAGTTTTCATTGCTCCTCACAAAATTCGGCCTTGAGTGATCACAGTGCGTTGCAAAACTAAACCAAGCCCAATTAACTAGAGCTGTAAAACAGCGAAACAGCAGCATTTCTCAGCAGAGGAAATTTAAACGCTGCGCTGGAGCTCTTTGGCATACTGAAAACAATGCTCGTGGTTTTTAGCACTACGCAATGGCCTAAACTTATCATTAATTTCATCTGCTGCTGGTTTGTGGAATTTGGGTATAAAAGCATGGTGTACGTTGGTGTGTCTCTTCTCAATTGGGACATAAGTTTATTAAAGAACTTGTCAAATTTTAAAAAACACTTAATAGAAGGTTTGTAGGAAGCTTTAATTTTCATCTGTTGTTGTAAAATTATTAGACATTTTTTTTTTCAGAAATTATTCTTCTTTGTGTTTTTGTTACAAAGCAAGTCAGGGCTTTTAAGAAAAGCATTCTTGGTAGTAATTTTTATTGGCACTGGTGTAATATTTTTTGGATAAATTTTCAATGAAAAGCTGTGGAAAAAAAACAATATAGGGCAAATTTTTATATAAAGTGTTTTTCTACATATGTTCTTAGCTGTGAAGAGGTATGAAGAGCTCCTCACATATGCTTTGGAAGTAGTGCAACTGAAGGAAGGTTTCAGAACTTAGCCCCCCAAGGCTTTGTGGAAAAAATATTTCACATTTCAGGCTATTAAGTAATGAATTAGCCTCAGGGAGTTTCTTTAGGTACAAGCTCACTACATGTGACCCAAAAGAATCGAATTGGTCTATGTTGCTTGGTGTGTCATAAAATGCAAGGTACAGTTCAAGCCCTATTGATCTGTTACATTCATCTCTTCTTTCGCTATAGTTTGCAATGAAAAGTGTATATGGGCAATGAAAGGGAAAATTGGCATCGGCCAATTTTTATAGTACAAATCTATAAGTAAATCAATATGAACCACTCAGAAAAAAAAGGCTTCGTAGTGGATGAAAAATTTGTCCTGGTCTGGGGATCAAACCTGGGGCCAACGCTTCTCTGGGGCAGTTGCTATACCAACTGAGCTGACCATGAGGCTCTGCAAATGGCAGCACAAGGGCAAATTAATTAACAGGATGAAGTACATAGAACAACAGAGCATTAGGCAAGTTGGCATATCATTGTGAATGGCATTTGTGCAAAAACACACGGACACAAAGGAAAGAAACCAGAAAACTTTCTTCTGTTTTCATGTTTTTTCCTCATGGTTTTTTTTTCTTTGTGTCCACGTTTTTTTTTTTCATTAATGCCATTCTCAAAGCGCATGGATGCTAAATAGGACAATATGGTAATGGAAAGATTCTACAAAACCAGGTAACTGTGCATGTCAAAATCAATAAAGTTTAGTAGGCAATTTCTTGCTCTGTGTTCAATCTTCCGTAGCGAGTGGCATGGGAAGCAGCAGTATAGTAAGAGCAAGAGCCAGTTGCATCACATTGATAATTTTGCTTTGTAATGGTGTTAACAGGTAAATAATAAATTAAATGTATCAATTGATGCCACTAATATACAACAAAAAATGATGACCTCAGGACAGTAAGCAATATCAACAGGGGTATTTTCACTATACTCTGCTAGCTGACAACATAGTTGAGACACGTGTTCTTCCACTGTGGTCTACACACTGGTTAAATTATAGCATCCACATATGTATTCCTCTGGTGCCATGTTGCAAGATGGACAGATGTCCTTGAGGCCTTTCCGAGCATTTCTTGAGTAGAATCTTAAAGTGTGTTTTTGCTATCTCATCTCCAGATCAATTGAGCACTCTACACTGAATTATTGCCTTTTATTCTGGTGTTCTGAGCTGCCCAGCTGCCTCGCTTTTTATTTTTAGAACCAGTGTTTTCTCCGTTTGTGCAGAATCAGCGCAAAGCACATCCTTCCCAACCAGCCAAGGCAGCAGCTCATCAGCAGGTCTCACTCAGCCCTCAGACCTCGGTTCATTCGCAAACTGGTCGCAAGCGGGAAAGCGTGGCCTCAGTTAACTATTCTATGGGCATGGCTGGCACTGGCCAGCTCTCTGTGAGCTATCCAAAGTGAGTACGCATTGATGCACGATTCTTGATGCAAGGAGTTCGACTTTTTTTTAGTCTTGTAGGATGTGTACTTGTAGTTGCTGGAGTTTTATTTTTCAAAGGACCTTGTAGTAAAAACTGGTTATTGCAAGTATAGAGTTTCCTAATATACACTACAGAGAACTCTGGCGCAAGTGTTTATGGGGGCTGCAATGCACGGCGCTTTAGCGAGCATGGGAATGATGGGTAGCACACGTATTTGTCTAATCTTCGTAATTCTGGCCTGTTTCTGGCTCCGTGTGTGTTCGAATGGCTTGGAGCTCTTTTCTCACGAAACAAAAATCACCAAATGTTTAGCGGTTTCGCTTCACCACCTTATTCTTTTAGGCTTACCATTTCGAATCGGGTCACGAAGTTCAAAAGGGTTCGTTCTTTCCTTCAAAATGAAACCGAAACCAGCAATAAACGAAGCTGCAAGTACGGTTTGCCACCCGCAAGTACGAAGACTAGGCAAATCCGTGTACTGCCCATCATTCCCATGGTCGCTGAATGATCGTAGTGCCATAGTCCCCTCTAGTTAATTTGAAGAAACTCTATGATTGCAAGGCTGTCAAAATGAAGACTCCTTTTTTTGCAGGTGCCATATTTTGTTTTCCTGGAACAATTATGTATTAATTTAATGTTCCAGTGAATGTGGTATAGAGGGTTGGTCATATTTAAGGTGAACACCTCATTAGTGTTGTTGCCAGACCTAGAATATTATGTTCTTTTTGAGGGAAATGCTTGTTATATGACATGTGATCATGGTGTTTAATAAGCACAATAATTTTATGAATTATGTATTAAGCATTCTGTGAGGTCTTGAATACTAATGAGGTGCCCTTCTTAGCTGTGGACGACCTTTTGCATTGCATGATCACAGGAACTCAGCTGTACTTGAAGGCACTGAAAAAAAAGAATACTCTTAGGGTAGGCTTGCAGAGTAATGAAGTGCAGTGTCTGAAGACCAGTGCCAATACTACCTTGAAACTCTCACGTGAGCTCTCCATGACATTGATTTTTAATGCATCAGCGTGACTCAGGAGTAAACATGCATTGCATCGTGCCTTGAGAGAGCCAAGGATTAAACTTAAGAAGTTTAAATACCTTCTGCTACTTTTGTGGCCCAAATACCATATACAAACTCAGAATTTATGTATTCCTTTAAACGTAATAGGAACACAAGTTTTCCATCCCCCTTCTACTCGGGCCTCCCTCTACATCACAGCAAAAGCATGTATATTACCTGAGTGTGAATGAAAAAGCTAACACTTTCTAGGTGCTGGAGTCTGTCCTTATAGAAAGAACTGTGAAGAAACATTGAGCGAGTGTAGCTCTTTTTTAAAGGCACTTTCTTGGTTCATGAGGCCACAAGATTGCTTTAGATTAGGTTAACCTCCCTGTCTTTCTTTGCATCTTTATCTCTCTCAAGGGCGGTCATGCACACCAAGCATGTATAATACCTCAGTAATCTTTAAGTTTCATTTGCCTTATAAAATGCAATTAAAGCAGCAATGGTGCACTGCTCTGTTTATGTGCAATTGGCTAATGAGCTAATGTCTCAGCTTTATAGGAATATAAGCCGCTGAGGCAAGTCTGAGTTCTTCTTAAGAGTAACTACACTTGGGGCTTTACACAAACATACAATCTTGTAATTATAATATTAATCATCTTGTAGTCAAATTAAAGTTATGACATTAGCAAAAATTTAATTTAATAAAAAATAATTTATTATGCTTTAGGTTAATGGTGTCCAGAAAATGCCAGAGTATCAGACTAAAGAGAGAGAAATAGAAAGAATATAAGAAAGGTAGCAAAAATGACAGAACCATGTGTTTACAGAGCTTACTGTACTCGTCTGTCTTCATTCCTGAAAATTTTTGTTTACCCAGTAACAATTGTGTTAAAGGTAACCTTCTTATTGTTTATATTGTTCGGTTAGGCAAACTACCGTATTTACTCGCGTAATGAACCCACTCTCATAATGAACCAACCCCCATCTTTGTCCCTGAAAAAAAGAAAAAAAAAACTTTTTTTAGTGCATCTGTTCATGTTATTTTGGTATGATAGCCAGTGCTGTTGAAAATCAACACAATGTTAAGTCAAGCCATTATATCACAAAATAACAACGCAATAAAAGCCAAAACATAGTTTCGCAACCGCGAGCAGCGCGAGCGCGGACGACGTCAATCAAAATTTCCAAGTCCCATGGATGGATGGATGGATGTGGCTGTACCCTTTAGATCGGGCGGCAGCTAACGCCACCTAGCCGTAATACTTAGTGAACTAACCATTACATTTATCTTTTTTTTTCCTTTAAATAATGAAGTTGAGGATTCGTACTTCGCAGTGAAGGGTTTAATTTTCACTCGTGCCTTGACTTTAGCCACCAATCAGATAACCTCCTTCTAGTTAAGTCTACCCGCTTAAAGTCTATTTTGCCCTCGCTGTCCCTAAATCCCAGTGCTTTGAAAAACTCTGCGCCATCATCCTGAACTATAGGGTGAAGCCCTTTACAGAACATTATCAAGTGTTCGGCAGTTTTGCCCACCTTTTGCGGCAAAGCGCCATCTGTTGAATGCAGGAGAAAACTCTTTGCTGATAGCGCTACCCAAGCACAGTGGCACAAAAACAAGGCAAAAAACAAAACGCGTGGCCTCTGAAATGGCAGGGGCGCGGCATAGAAACACACCGCATGGGTGGAGACCAAGGCGGTGACATGTGTGCCACCAGGTTTGCAAGAAAAAAAAATGAAAAGACACTTTTTTTAATGTTGGCCTAATGCCTTATCTGCTTCGATCAAATCGAGCTTATTATAACAAAAAATATGTAGCTATGTTTCATCTCTATGCCTTTTCAGGCAGAATGACCTCATTATTTCTACTTTTCTGCCACCAATACTCTGATCTTCTTTTACTTGCTTCTATCGCAGACGTGTTAGCTGCACGCCGCGCACGCGCCATCTCGCAAGCCAGGCAAAGCGCAACCGCACCCACCGCGCCGACGGCGCGTCGTGCACCCACAACGTCTACTGCAGTGTTTGTGCGCCGCCATCCGACGCTACGTTTTTGTTGTTGGGTTCGTCGTTGTGAACTTACTTAGGACACCTGCTGCGCAGAGCGCGTTCAGCCAGTACGCTAGCTACACACAGCTACTTACAAACAGCATGCGCTGGAGCATGGGAACTGAGCAGCTGAATGACACTTCGGTGTCGATCCGTGTGCTTTCGTTATGGGAGGAAACAAGTTCTTTGGACTACAAAAAAGATTTGTCCCGCATTTCATGTCCCAAAACAAGCAGAGTTATCACATGAAATTTTCGCTGTTATAACTCCCGTTACTTCTTTCTCCTGTGTTATGAACCCTCCCCCAAATTGGCATCAACATTTCTGGAAAAAAGGTCAGTTCGTTACGCGAGTAAATACGGTATCACTGTCAATATCATGTATTCATATGCATCTTTTTCACACTAAAGCATTGAATGATATGTTTTCATTTTTTATCTGCATCCTTGAGCATCGTGCAAGGAGCTATGACTTTCCAAGCTCATTTTGTAGAAGGACTGCTGCATTGTTCCTGAAGGTTGGATGTTGAATTCAGGCACAGGATGTTTTCCAGCATCAACTAGAGCTTAATGATTACGAGTATATTTTGATTGAAATCTAGATTGTCTATGATTGAGAATTATCCCCTTTTATCCTTAGACTGTGTCACAGTTACAAGCTGCCGCTCAGCTCGCCACTTTTTTTGGCACTTTTTCTGCATGTTATGCTATTACTATGATAACTCTCTTCTAGCTAAAAAGTGCAAAGAACTATCATTTGAACAAGAGCATTAATACTGCATTCACTTTTTCCACATGCTCTGCAGCCATCTACTCATTATAGCGGTCAGACCTTTTAATAACAAGTGTACTCTGTCACTAGAAAAAAGGTAGTTTACTTTGTTTATAAACCACAGGCAGCAACCAGACTTGTTGAGAAGTTTTATTACTGGTTGAAGAATGCAGAACATGGCAAATTCAGTAATGCATACATTTATCGAAATTCGTGATTTTGATCCTCATAACGCTTAAACATGTAGACTGGCTACCCTTTGATCTTGCTATTGTGCATCTTTAGAAGGCAGCACCATTTCTTTTCAAAGGTGGATTAATATGACTCTGCACGAGTGAGTGTGCTAGGTTAATGTGATGAGCCGACTGGTGGTTTTCTGGGTCACGAGTAGGGCTATTTCTTTAGTCCCAGAAGAAATCGGTGCTTGCCCTTCAGTCGTCTAGGTGGGGCATCGCCTCCTATCTGAAGCTGTATCCCACAAGGAAATTGCTGAACCAGGAAACAGAAAAAAGAACCAGTAGTATTGAATAGGCAATCACTTTCTGAGAATGGCAATAACATTTTATTTCAGGATAAACTTCCATCCAAGCTGCTTCTTTGCACTAGGATCTCCAATTGCGATGTTTCTAGTAGTGCGTGGCAACGAGACCCTGGGTGAGGACTTCAGGTTGCCAACTTGTCCAGCTTTCTTCAACATCTTTCATCCGGTAATGCACCAGCTTTTTTGTGACCACTCTAGCAGTATTATGCAGCAGAAATTCTCTTCAGGCAGTGTAGATGTAATTACTGCATATAGAGGTAGCACATAAAATGGAAAAGTACTGGATAAAAAAAATAATGTCCGAAGTTTGTTACATATATTTTGCTAAATATTCTAATAAAGCTTTGATGCTATTTGCAGTGTGTTTAAGAGAGTTGGAATATGGTAATGCAGACAGCTATTCTCGTTGCTAGAAAGTTCCCACAAGCACTAGGCTTACTTCCTGCTTTGTTTCCAACACTCTTTTGCATCAGGCCAACTTCTCCGGAGGTTCAACAGGTGTTTATCAAGTATTCTGGAACTGAACTACCTAGTTGTATTTTCATATTTCACATTTTTGCGAGAAACATTCAAGCATAGAGTCCACATTTTGTAAAAGTTACATAAATTTCTGAAAAAATTTAAACTGTTCATCAATTCTGTGCTTTTAGTGACTTGGAAGAGGTAGTAAATTTGGTGACAATAAGTTTGTAAAGGCCAGCATTGATGCTTGTAGGAGATATTGGAAATGCAATGCTTGCAACTCACTTTTGTAATTGATATGCGGGGTTTAACGTCCCAAAACCACCATATGATTATGAGAGACGCCGTAGTGGAGGGCTCCGGAAATTTCGACCATCTGGGGTTCTTTAACGTGCACCCAAATCTGAGCACACGGGCCTACAACATTTCCGCCTCCATCGGAAATGCAGCCGCCGCAGCCGGGATTTGAACCCGCGACCTGCGGGTCAGCAGCCGAGTACCTTAGCCACTAGACCACCGCGGTGGGGCAACTCACTTTTGTATGAAACTTCCCAACATTAGTAGTGAGATAGGTGCATTCAGATAAGGATGTTCGAAAGTGGATACTATTTTGTAAAATGAATTCCTTATACGAAATAGCAAAATCGCTCCATATATTAAAGATCAACCTATTTCTTCTGTACGTGGTTTCACTTCAATATGTGAAAATTATAAAAATGTGCCCTATGTACAGCCAGCCAAATCTTTAACTAGTATGCATGAGTGGCTACTTTTCTGTGCATCGGTGCCATGCGACGGAGCTAAATTGAAAACAGGGTGAGGCAAAGGTAAGAGCATGCCCACAAAGTGCACTGAGCTGAGCCCATTGTCTGCTTGACTTTTCTTTCTTATAGACATCACTTCACATTAGTGCTATTCAAACAAACAAACAGCATCAGTATGTGAACAGTTCTGCTTGTATTTCATGTTTTGAAGATGGACGTAGCAGCAAGCAATCGAGGAAATAACATTTTTATAGCATACTCCGTAGCACCAACCCATTAAGCGTGGTTCTTCTGGAATGTGCTGATAGGGAGACAGTCTAGCAGATGATGGGCCCAGCTGAGTGAGGTTTGCGGTTGTGCCCTTATCCTTGTTCCGTTTGCAACTCACCTCCGTCATATGGCGCTGACACACAGAGAAGTCGCCACTCATGCACGCTAGTTAGAGATTTGGGCAGCTATGTAAAGCTCCTGATATAGAGAAAATGTAAAAAAGTATGAAATGCTTTGTACCTTTCAGTTTTTCTATACATTACTTGCTCAACTTTATAAAGGGAAGTAAGGTAAATACTAGCACGAGCCTACAATACTAACAAAAGTTCACAAACATGGCTTTCAAGCTAGAATGTATAAAGTGCACCTTTTCTTGGTTCTGATTAACCCTTTGAGTGTTTCTGCCATACATGTATGATGGAAGTTTTGTGTCTTTTTGCTGTACGGGTAGGTTTCGACCCTCCGCTTGAAATTTCGCGCTATAAGGGCAATTCATGCTGACTGGAAGGTGCTACCACTTTCTAGGACTTACAAAAAGTGTTGTAAATGATTGTGTTACTTTCTTGAGGTGATACAGAAGTGATTTCTAGCATCGGCGTGTTGCGTGGTTTGTGGCAATGCCAATGGGCAACGCCCTTTTATGCTTTTGGTTTTGCCGCGTGATTGCAATGAAGACGCGCAAAACTTGATTTTTATCTGTATCGAAACTTTCTTACATGAGTGGTGGAAGTTGATTTTCATCTTTATTGGTGTTACTCTTAACTTTACCCATTTCATTTATTCAAAAACTGCAATGAAGTATCTGGGAAATATTTTTCTGAGAAAAATTCAACACGAAAAGGTTAATACACCTCATGCCAACAAATTCTCTGTATTTCTTTCCGTGTGCACTTTGCAACCTTCTGAACGAGCAACAAAATATGTTTAGTTTTTGTCGTTTACTGTTATATTTTACCGGTTACTGCACAGAGAGCTTTATTTTTCACAAGTGTCACTGTGTGTGGCCTGTTGTCGACCTTTACATTGTATCATTGATGCTCTCCAGAGTGCCACAGCGCGGTTTGGTAAAATTCTTTTCTTCTTCTTGAATACGAAAGGTTGTTATAGCTCATATATAGCATGAATCTGTGTTTTATAAAATTCATGTTCTGAAAACTTTTTGTGTTGCATGTTCGTAAAGATACATTGATGTTTTGGTATGTGCCCTGCTGTTTTCTTACAATTTTTTATGCCAATAATTTTTGTAGCTTATACCGTATTACTCGCGTAATGAACACACTCGCATAATAAATGGACCCCAACTTTAATTGTCAAAATTGAGGTTTTTTTCACCACGTAATAAACGCATCCATAACTTTCATCCGTTGCACTCCCACGAATCAATGCGCGGCACTTCCTCGTCCGTTAATTTTATCTTTCTTCCTTTATTTTTTTTCTTTATTACACCGACCCCCCTCGGTTTGCTTCCCCTCTCCCCTCCGCCTGCAGTAGCGCACCGTTTTGTTAGTTTTGCTATCTGTGCACGGCTGGGTCCCTCTCTTTTTGTATTGTTTTTGAAGTAAGTATCTGCGTGCTGTAGCAGTATTCACAAACGATTCGAGTGTAGAGACATCGCAGCTCACAAACACACAGTGTAAGGAGCCTACATGACCAGTTGTATAGGCTACTTATACTGCCCATGCCATCCCACGGCTCACAAATACGAAGCTTTGCGGAACCGGCGGCATCTAAAATGCAGCGATGCGAGAGCACGCAGGGCATGGAGAAAGAAACTGGCTTTACCTCTGCATCGGGTGGTCGCAATCCTTGCAGAAGATAGTGCCATCTACCACCGAAACAGTGGAATATCCGAGGCCAGGTAGGACCAGTAGGACATCCAATCAAAACGATGCAAGATGGTGACACGAGCTCTAGCATTGTTGTCATCATACCTCTATCTACTTTTTTTGCCTCACTAAGTGGTCCTGCTCATTATCACCTCATTGGGAGTTCGTTCTAAGCCTGCGTTGCGTTTTGTTATGGATGATGGGCCGAAATGGGAGTTATACGGCCGGTTTCAAGCTACAGGTTGTGGAGTACGCACTTCAACATGGGAATTGTGCTGCCGGTAGGCATTTCGGAATTGATGACGTACGTGTGCGCTACTGGCGGAAGCAGCATGACAAGCTCTGCGCTATAAATAGGTAGTGACGTTCCTTCAGGGGACCAAAAACCGGGAAGTTTACTGTTGTGGAACAGGAGATCTTGAGTTATGTCCAGACCTTATGAAATGATGGCTGTGTTGTTTTGCACAAGGTGACCTAGACGCAAGCACGAGCCACAGCCAGGAAGCATGGCATCGCTCCTACGGTGTCTTAATGGGCCCTGCAACACTTTTGAGCATGGTGAGAAAACGCTGCCGATCAGTAGTAGAGGCTCCTGACAACACCTGAGCCAAATATAGCGCAGCACGCGGCCTGGAATTCACAATAAATAATCAAAGACAGTTAAAAATTGCTTTCTCTTCTCTCGACAAATCACGGAAGACGCTCAAAAATCACTCGTAGCAAGCCCATTTATCAGCCATTGGCTAATTTGAACATGGCACGCTCGGTCGTTACAAAGACAGCTGCGAGAGGCCGCAACTTTTCCATGCGTGCGTGTGTAATCACACTGAAAAGCCATACATTTGAAAAAAAAAAAGTTCTCAAGGTCAGGAGGCACGCATGACGCGTCTTTTTTCGCCTCTGCCATCCCTCCCTGCTTAGCTTCCCACTCTTTCATTGGGATGAGAGAAGAGAGAATGCAATTGCAGCATGTGACAAATCTTTGTAACTACACTCGCACTGGACAGATTTTAAAAATTTTTGTGGCATTGAATTCGTGAGGCAATAAGCTCTTCCAGTGAATTCATTTCATCGTTACTTGAAAAAGTGTTTCAGGGCCCTTTTAAAGTGAGCAATGGGTGGACTACATGCTTCATGTGATGCAACGTAGTGTGCTTGAGGAGGCGCACATCACTTTGTCAACGACTTCCTCCTTGCTTTAAAAATAAGGTAGTGCATTTTCACAAGTTTGTTATACGCCTGCGGCAGACCGAGAATTCGTTTTGTCACAAACCGGGAACGCGGGCAAGACTACCATCAATTTCGACATGCTGATGAGTAGGACTGTCGATGACAAGGGAGAACATAGCGTGCTCGTGAAAACGGCAGGCGCCGAGAATCAGCGTCTCGCGCCCATGCTGGCTGTCACGGCAGACAGCCGGAAATTGCCGCCGTGCGTTTTTTTCAAGCGAAATACCATGCAAAAGGCCAATTTCCCAGCTGGAATACACATGCGGTCTCAGGGGAAAGTGTGGATGTCAGCCGATTTAATGGTCGAATGGGTGCAGACTGTCTGGGGACGACGCCCTGGCACCCTGCTTCTCCCGTCTCTCCTTGTTCCCGGCAGTTTTCGCAGCCACCTAAGAGAGAACGTTCGCCAGAAAATCGAGGAGCTGCGCACCGAGATCGCCATCATTCCGGGTGGACTTACTTTGGTGCTTCAGCCCCTTGATGTTTGCATTAAAAAACCGTTCAAAGATGGTGTGCGCTGCTTGTACACGGAATGGATGCCTCATAGAGGGCACGCACTGACGCCAACTGGCAAAATTAGGAGGCCATTCGTTGAGCTGGTGTTCTCCTGGATCTTGGACTCGTGGCACTTGCTGCCAGGTGATCTGATAACGAAGAGTTTTACAAAAACGGGAATCGCAAATTCACAGGACGGGAGCATAAACGACCAGTTGTGGGACCAAGATGTGGAAGTGGCCAGTGACCGGGATGATGGTATCAGCAATTCTGGCGAAAATTTAAGCAATTGAAGTGCAATAAAAATGTGTGTTTTCAAGTAGTGTACGTGCATGTTCACTATGAAAAGTAAGCCACGCAATTTCTTTTTTCATTATCGTATTTTCAGCTCATCCAAAAAAAAAGTTTCGAAAATTTACCTTGCATTAATAAACGCACCCCCCACTTTGCTCTGTTTTTTTTTTTTAAAGTGCCTTCATTATGCAAGTAAATACGGTATTTAATAAGTATATTGTGAGCAATACTAATTACAAGAGAGTTCCTTCCTATATCAATGGCTACTATACATTTCTGTGTGCTATGTGTTCTGCTAATGACAAAAAAAATATTAAACCACCTTAAAAGTGTTACTTTTTCCACAGATTATGGGACAGGAAAGGGCTGTGATTGTGTGGTATATGTACAAAATATACAAACTTTGAAGCCTAACCTTTTTATGTAGCTTTAAATCATACTGTGCAGCAAGATATATTTAGGGTTACTCTCTTTCTTTTTCATATCCTGGGACCCCTGCAGTTTGATCCTGTGGTGAGTTTTTTTATTCCTGTTTGTTTCTGGGAGAGAGAGTGAGAGAAAGAATGAATGAGGGAGTGCAGGCTTTCATCAAGCCCTGATTTGCCATTTCTCCTCCTGGCAGGCATACCGCATGGAAACCTTGATTGACCCCAACTTCACTGCATGTCCTGTTTTGATTCCCCACCACAAAGGTCGCAAGCGAATGCACCTCGGTGAGTACTGAATAGTTCTACTTCACACTTTCATTGTTTTTGTGGGCAACATGTGCAGAACTTGTCACTTTGACTGTTCTCCACCATTTTACTGTTCATTTACCTTATTGCCTAGGGATCTAGATTTGTTGTCAATAATTAATGTCATTTAGATTCCTGGTAACAATTAATTCTTTTAAAGATACCAAAGAACAATAATTTATTGCTTTATACTATTATTGTCAGTTCAAGACCGTGTGTTTTGATTCATTTTGATTCAGGAGAAAGTAAAAATAAAACTGTTATATATATTTTTTTTTTCATATTCTATGGTGAAACTTTTGTGAGCTCTGGTATGTCCACGTAACATCATCAACTTGAGTACTTTATTATTGATTTTCGGTGCAAATGTTGGTAAAGTTTTCTGAAGTCATTGATAACTGGGTGGTATTCTCAACACTGTAAAATGCTACCATATTGTCACATTTCATAATGGCATATTTTTTAGTCAATCAGAGAGGCTATAGGAGCCTTCTGGTCTACTTACGGTTGATAGAAGGATGAATTTGTTGGAATGTTGAAGACTTATCATTATCTGTTACATGTTTTGCACATTTTTTTTCTGCCTTACCAAGACTCTTCTTAAAATTAGAATGGCTATTCTTTCTGTGTAAAAAAACCTAATTTTCAATTAAAACATTCCTCCTTTGTGTTTTTAATATGCAAACCTACGTAGACTAGTTCTGCTCAAGTCACAGTACTTCAGTAGTATAGTGTTAGCAATTTAGTTTTGTGAAAAGTGATGTTGTCAAAGTGCACATATTGTCTATAAAAAAATTGAACTTTCCTGCTAAATAATCACTTGTATAAGCATATTCTTGAGACCTGTTGGAGTGGCTATGCATCATATCGGAGTTGGTATTTGTGTGGACATACAGAGGCATCAGCTCCCGGAAGGGTCTCTGTGATGTTCACAGATACAAAGGAAAGTTAGGACTGTTGGTGTGAATTACAGTCTCTAGACACAAAAAGTATGTTAGGAGGAGACGAAGCAAAAGAGAAGACTCTTCATTTGTCTCATCCGATGTCTCTTTTGCACTGATCAGATATGGCTTAGGTCTCTGTTCTAAGCTGATGTGCTTTAGCTAAATTAATTTAATCATGTAGAGACACACATTTGCTGTACATATTTGTACTTCTGTATTGTAGTATAAGTGGCTAACCGCCGAATTAGCATTTGTGAGCTAAATTATCTTCTCTGACAATGAGCCCCCACCGCGGTGGTGTAGTGGCTAATGTACTTGGCTACTGACCCGCAGGTCGCGGGATCGAATCCCGGCTGCAGCGGCTGCATTTCTAATGGAGGTGAAAATGCTGTAGGCTCGCGTGCTCAGATTTGGGTGGTCAATATTTCCAGAGCCCTCCAATATGGCGTCTCATAATTATATGATTTTGGTACGTTAAACCCCACATATCAATCAATCATCATCATTCTTTGACAATGAGATGTTAATGTAGGTGAGTTCATCTTGCGGACAGTTGCTGATACAGTGCAGAAGGCAAAGGTGCAGAACAGATAATTACTACAGATTGTAAATGTATGGGCAGTTTCTTGACAGAAGTAAAGAAGAAAGAAGTTTGGCTGCCGATGCACGAGTCAATTGCTTTCATGATCGATGGCTTTTTTAAGAACATAAATTGTAAGTCAGTGTCTATTTTGTCATATCTTTCTGCTCTCCCACCATGAATCTGTTCATACATTTACAACACCAACTAGCCCAGCCGACAACTATCTTGAATTACAAAATGCTCACTTCCAACTTCCATTTATTTCAGGTCCCCCTGCACACAATTCAAGCACACAATTCCGTCAGTCATAGGAAAATATGCTTAGAAAAATATGCATTCAGAAAGCTGACCTCGTTGTCACATGTGTCAATATTCTGCCATGACAAGCACGCAAAGGAGCAATCATAGCAAAATTCGGTGTCTTAGTATGCTATCAGAAAACCCACCTAATTGCCACTTATTGCTGAAGAGTGGCTATTAATACATCTAGCTTCATCCACCTTTATGAAGCATGCATCTACAATTTTCTAAATGTCTTTCTTTTTTCCTTAAAAATAATGTCTTGCCACACACACAGTCATGCAGACACACTTTGTACTGTACTGTTAAACAACTTATGTTAGCATTGAAGTGAAGCTAGTAGGTACTGCATTCTTTGGCTGATTTTATTTTTTTCAGTTTTGTGAGCAAGTGTGTGCTACACACTTGCTCACAGCTGCCTCCTTATACAGGACTTCTGTATGGCAGCTTCAAAATTTGGTGATAGAGCCCCTTTAGAAATCTGGGGCATTGCTTGGAAACATCACTGCAGATATTTCACTAGCGCTTTGTTCTGATTTTGAACATCAGGTATAATTGCATGCCCCTTGTTCCTAATCATGTCCCCACAACTTTGCTTAAATTTATGCCTCTGCAATGCAGTTACAAAAACATTCTGCGATTCTTTGCATTGCATTTTTACAAAGAGTTTAAAGTAGAAATTTAACCCTTTAATGTCTGGATTATGAAACTGCCAAAGAAAATAAAAATTGTTTTCATTTTTCAGGTTTATATAGCAACCATTAAATGATTCTGCAGTTAAATGATCTAAAATACAGTTTTAATGCATACTTTTATGAATGATGCGAATTCTCCTTGTGCCACAGAAGTGAGTAGCTTGTAGTGAAAAACACACTTCAGAAGAACACATGTCTTATCACACGTCTTGAACACATACACACCCAAATAAACAAAATTATTGAAGATAGAACTTGTGTCAGCCAGGCGAGAAAAAAACAAAATGAGCGCTATTGCACCCGCTTTGCGCTCTCTGCCATTAATGACAAAACAGTTGCTTCTAGTATAAAATACATTACACGAGACAGCGCTAGATTTTTCATGCTGAAAGCTACGTTCCCCTGATTACTTGACAATGGGCATTAAAGGCGGCACGCATTCCGCGACTTGCTTGCTTGCAGTTTCTCGGTATGTCGCGAATTCGTGACGTTAGGCAGTAAAGGGTTAAGCACATTAATTTTTCAATGAAGAACCACTAGTTTAGTTGTGCATGCTTTGCAAATTACAAAGCTGCAAAGAGGAAAATATCAAGACCACATGTAGTGAATCAAATTTGCCATTTGTTGCCATGGCTATATGTGCATGCAGGAAATGTGTTTAACTGCAGCAAGACTTGCACTTGCCAGTCCTCCATTGCCACTTTGTGCTTTCCCAACATGCATTGTGTAGAATAAACATATTTGTCTAAGTATTCACCGCTGGTTGTAAGCATTTCACATCATTTTTGCGGAAATACGGTTCTGAGCTGATGTGAACTGAATGAGTGGAACTGGAAGACACAAGACAAAGGGGTGACAAACAAAGATGCTGGTATCTCTTTTGTGCTGTGTTTTTTGTTCCATTGGCCAAGTTTTTAATAAAGGTATTTCAATCAGTCATGAATAAAGTTATTTCAATCAATTAGTCAAATTTGCATTAGCTGTGAAATGCCCAGCTCAGTTCAGTACTGGTGTCTTATTGTAGGACATATTTTTTACCTCCCTCTTTTCTTTGGTATTAAGCATTATTTTATTTACCTGTGTTGTACTGTATCTGGTGCATTGCTCAAACATTCCCTTCCAGAGCTTAAAGAGAGCCTTAGTCGAATGGGTTCTGACTTGAAGCAACGTTTCATGGATTCAATACGGTATACATGGAACTCGCTCAATGAATTTGCACGTGCTCATCGCTCCTCTCCGGCACAAATGGAGGAAGAGGTGAATCGTGTGCTACAAGAGGAAATAAGCCGTCAGACTGATGCAGCAGAGGTTGAGAGCACAGGCAAGCTTTTTGTTTATCCGTTTATTAGTACCTCAAGGGTCCCTAGGGACATTCATGAGGGTTGGGCAAAAAAAGCATGATAGGTGAAACAAAAAGAAAGCAAAGCAGCATTAACAATAACAACAAAATAAAAAAGCAGTAGTAGAATCATAATTACAAAGATAAAATATTGCTTTTTACGGAGGTTTTAAATTGGGCAAACTGAGATGACATGGGGATGTGGGCGGGAAAGTCGTTCCAGTCTTGCACTGTCTGAAGGAAAAATAACTTCTGGAAGGTCTTTGTTTTTTTGGGCGTACGGGGGAAAATGGCGCAATGTCTGTTTTCTTAGCTCTTTGCCTTCCGAAATAGCAATTGCTATACAAAAAAGTGGTAATTTAAGGGGGAACACTCAGTCTTCCAAGTGCTACCTTAAAAAAATCCATCTTTTTTTTTTTAAACAGCATTTTTTTTAACACGCTGGCATAGCTGCAAATAGTGACAAAGTTTCTCACAGCTTGGATTGATATTTTGGCCATAGCAGCAATTATAACACTAAGATAGCCTACATTCCAACTGAAAAAAAAAAAAAAGAAAGCCCCAAAACTGGGCTTATTCGTGCCGTGCTGCTGCTGAATGATGTGTGCTACAGCAGAAGGCATGCAGGTTATATAGTATCACTGATGGCCTTTAAACATCCTCTAAAAAATTTTAAACATCTCGTGTTTCATAAGATTTAAAATTGGCTTTATTTCTTTTCTAGATTTTCTTGAAACCTATAATAGTTACTTTCTGCGACCTTTCAAAAGCAATTTAAGAGTAATTGGCGCACCTAGACTTGTAAATCTTGTTGCAGTACTGAGTTACATGAATTCTGCCCACAGGGGTAGGAGGAGATTTTCGTATTTCAGTTGGAATGTTTTTTATTCTTATTGGGGGACGCGACAATTTGAATGGTAAATTTGGTCAAAATTATCAATTTTGGATTGTTTTTTTTTTTTCACGATCCTTGGACCTTCTTTTACGTTGTGGTGAAATATAACAAACTACACAACAGCACTTTACTAGTGTGTTGTCATCGAAAACCGTGAAAAAGTTGGTCTTCAGTAGGTGCCGCCGCTTTCGCGGCTCTCACTCGACGGAGCACCGCCATCTTTGTACCATTGTGAAGAGGAGAGATCGGAGCTGAGGATAGCCGCAGTGCTGTATTTCTCCAACAAAAAATAAAAACAGAATAAGCTAGCGAAAAAGAGCAAAAGTGGCATCACAATTTGCATGCCCCTATTGGGTGTCTAATATTTGAATGGCTTTCGCGGGCATTCGTGCTGGAGGGAGCTGCTCCTGGCTGCTGCACATTTTGTTCATTCCTGTGTTGATCGCCACAACGACATGCATGTTCTGCGATAAGCCCCAAAGGAGCGAGGTACTGAATGGTCTGTGTGCACAGGAAATGGCAAACGCCATGGAGTAAAGGGGGAAAACTGGACACGGAAATAAACGCTGCTTACCTCGCCGACCAGAAACTGCCGATGCACGTGAGAGATAGGGACAGCTCCCCAGTGACAGTGCGTCCGTATGTGCTGATGACCTGACCGCGAGCAGTGTTGACAGTGCGTGCTGCATCGATGATGCGACCAGCGCTTGCGACGTGTTCACATGTAGTGTCGACGCCTCCATGTGCGGTGTTGAGTCCACGTGCTGTGTTGATCAGTCCGCATGCCGAGTTACGGGTCTGTGTGTGATGTTGACGCATCTATGAGCAGTGGTGACCGCACTTCTGCGAGCAACAGCAATGTGGCATCGGCAACTGTAGATGTTCGTGCGTCGAGTATTTAGCAGTAAATTTGGGCTCTAGCTCTCACTAATGAAGAGATTGTGTGATTCAATACATTCAAAGCGGACGCTTTGAATGCATTGTCTGCAACCCCGTCCACAAAAAGAAAATTTGAATTTCTGAAAGATTGCGAAAGTGATGAAGGTATTGTTCCTGAGGCATCATTTTTTGTAGCACACAGAGTGATGATGAATAAGCTGCTTTCCGGACACCACTGTAGAAGGGCACCAATTCGTTTTAAAACTGGCTTTCTCTTTGGTTTGCAACATAAATATATTTTGGGACTGTGATAGCCGCACTTATACTGTCCTCAGCGAGGATAAGGTGTATGGCTTCATACCCATACACAAGCAGGAATGAGTGATCCATGTAAAAAAATAATGGGTGTAGCTTTATGAAACCTAGTTGAAAAAAAAAAAAAGCAAGGACCAAGAGTTCAGCATGAGTGGAAGAGGCTGTCTCACACATGGCTTAATTAAAAAGCTGATTAACTATTATGAATGGGCCATAAAAAGTAATCCCAATGATGTGCCTGCCATGGAAAAGGCCATCATGGCTACTTTTCATCACGTCACATCAACTGATAACGAGCCACGCCATGAGCAGTGCCCTACTGGTGTGAACTCATGGTGCAAGCTTAATGCTTCGGCAGCCTTGGGGGAATCAGCGCCTGCACAAGCTGCAGCTTCTTGCCTATATACTTGCGCCTTTCTGCAAGGGAACTTCTGGAAAGATGCCAGCAAGGCAGAACCTAGGATGCCATTGAGTCTCTCAACAATGTCATTTGGTCACTCCAGTCAAAAACGCAGTTTGCCTCTCGTCTAAGCATTGAGAATGCTGCAGTTTGCCTTTTTAATTCTGGCTGTCGCAAAGCACTACAAGAAATTACACCGCAACTTGGGTACTGTCTAGAATTGTGCACCTTGCGGCGGGCTGCTAAAAAGAATGCGCATTAAAAAGTCAACCAAAGCAAACAAAACTGCTCCAAACAAGTGAAAAACTGAATTGAAATAAGAAAATGCATCAACAGAGAAAGGGCTACATCTCAGGCAAGTTTTAGGTGCTCAAGAGTTAAAAATTGGCCACTTTCATGAAATAACACTTGGAGCGTCATTTTTTTTTTCAGCTTTCATTTTTTGTGTAGTTGCTGTCAGTCATCCTAGTGTTACTTTATAACTGATGAATCTAGAATTATCCTGTTTTTTGCACTAAGATCCTGAAACATTGGTGAGCACTGCAACACTATTCAATGTTTTCTGCACATCATAAAAAATGTTATAATTGTATTTTCACAAGAGATGTTGAAAAGAAAATATCATTAGGAGAGTTTAGAAATTTTTTTGGTGCTGGTTTAGACCTTAAAAGACAAATGAATAGCATTAAAGTGCATAGTAAGCCTTGCTGAATATGCTTAAGCAAATGTGCTACCCAAATTATATCTAATTAACCAATTAATTCGGGGACGAATGTAAAGATTTATTAAATGTCATAACTGAAAAACTATGAAACCTATCTTTAATTTGATTTTATTAATGATATCAGCATAATAAATAACATCAATGTGCCAAATTTCAATTTATTTCAATAAATAACAAGAGTAGTTTTATTTGCCATGTCCCTCATTAAATTTATGAAACAACTATTTAGCCACATTTTTGACAGAAATGTTTGATATGCTGTACTATTGGTAATAGTTGTCATATCAAAAAAAGTCACAGCTTTGCCGCAAAGGCGCAGCAATGAACGTGGTAGGAACAGATTGGAAGGCCACACGCAGAATGGCAAGCAGAGCGAAACGTGCCCTGCATTTCTCATGCACAAATGACGAAACGTACTCACAAGTACAGATGAACACAAATAAGCATCTCAGTTGTTACTTCGCTGTAGACTTTGTAACAGAGACTTTGCAACGACAGCAGTGACCTTCGTGCACTTGGTAACTACAACAGAATCGTTCCAATAAAAGCCCAAGGCCAGCCAAGATGTACAATCCTCCCCACCGCGAGATAAGAGTGCGCGAGTGAACATCCACCCTCTTCGCGGCGCACAGTACGCGAGAGTTATGAGAGCGTGCGCTGCCACGTCGTGACAATCTGGTAACGTGCGCTCATTGTGCCATCTTGCTAGTAATGCTGAAAACATGATAGTTCCCCCCGAGATGCCCGTCAGCAGCGGTAAATGGTAGATATAAAAATCTTGCCGTTTGAACGTTAAAGGAGGTGCTTCTTTGTGGCTCAGTGGTTAACGCCTTGCACTCATGATTCAGAGATCCCAAGTTCGATTTCGTGCATCGGAATCTTTTTCTGGCTTATTTTTCTTTCTTGCATTTACATATATATATATATATTGTGGGCATTTAGTATACCAATTCTCTTCATCTGTACATTATCATCATTATCATGTATTGCTCATGCATCCTCATCGTTGTCACGTATCATCATCATCTTGGTTCGTGCATCTCCGCTGTCGGCTGCCGGTTCCTCGGGCCTGATAAAGGTCTTCCAAACCAAGACTTCATACGTGGTGGAGCGTGCTGTTAGATCCCTCGTCATCCTCTCGACCACTCTACCCCCTGGAGCTACGTTCAGGTCGCCGCTTGGGCCAGGTGTCCGGAAATATGTCGCACCAAGAAGAGGTCGGTGCTGCAACCATTCCCACTCCGCCACCGCGTGCCGCGCCTTTTCACGTCATTAACAGCCTCCAGCGTGAGCATCCCTTCGCCGGTATGCGCGGAAAAGATGTGGAGGAATGGCTGGACAATTTCAAACGTGTCGGCGCTGCTAACCGGTGGGATAACACCTACAAACTCGCTTACGTGTCATTCTACCTCACGGGTGTCGCGAAGACGTGGTTCCTCAACCACTTCATCGATATCCCCGACTGGTCAGCCTTCAAAGATCAGCTTCGCCATGTCTTTGGCACACCGACTGTTCGTTCGGCTCTCGCAAAGAAAGCTCTCGCGGCTCGGAAACAGCACATCGGGGAGTCGTATACATCCTACATCGAGGATGTCCTTTCACTTTGCCGCCGGGTTGAAACCCCAATGGCAGAGTCAGACAAGGTACGCCAGCTTCTTAAGGGGATTGCACCCGTCGCATTCAATGCCCTTGCAATCCAGAATCCAGCTACTGTTGCTGACGTTGCGACAACCTGTCAGCGCCTCGAAGAACTCGAGTCTATGCGCCTA